TTTGTTTTCAAAATATTCCAAAATTTGGAAAACCCTCGAATGGACAGTTGACAAGAAAGGGGAGTTCAAACAAACACAGCCAGTCGAAGCTTCGATGAGACCAGTTGGAAAATTGTCCAGCCACAGCTGATGACGTGTCCCTACCTAATGATGGACGTAAAGGCAGGAAAAGAATGACAAGCACATGTAAGTGAGATTGGGGAACGGATTCAAAATTGAGAGGGATGAACGGGTGAATACATGCCTTGGCACGTGAAAGTCGGAGAAGAGCAGGCGTACCAAACACCGTTCATAGGCGTGCCTTTAAGCCCCTGAGGGAGGAGCTATTAACCAGCGCGTCTAAGCTAGTGGTGTGAGTGTCACAGAGAGAGAGAGGAAGAGTGAGTGAGTGAGCAATCCGCGATGATCCGCTCGATTCACCAAGTGATCTCAGCCTGATGATCCGCTCGATTCATCGAGTGATCTGGGCATTGTGATCCACTTGATTCATCAAGTGGACTAAGCGCAATGAACTTTCCGGTCCCCCGGATGATCTGAGCGTAGTGGACTGCTCGATTCCTCTCAAACGATCCGAGCGCAAAGGATAGCTCGATTCCACACAAGTAATCTGAGCGCGATGGAATGCTTGATCCGTCAAGCGAACTAAAGCGCAATGAACTTTCCGGTTCCTCGAATGATTTGAGTGCAGTGGACTGCTCGAATCCTTAAGTGATCTAAAGATCTGGCGGTGCACCTGTCGTTCATCTGGTTGAATACTCACTCAAGCTTCATCGTTTGACAACGTGGCACCAGCCGGAAGGTCACCAGTGCATAAATGCCCCATGATTTAGTTGTATATTCACTCTAACTTCTTTGTTGGTGATACACCGAGCAACGCCGCTGGGCACAGAAGGCTAGGTGAATGGCTATGCATCTTTCCGTGCTCTCGCTGCGGTGATAAGACTTACGAGGACAATTGGCACGTCCTGATTGTCTTTCTAGAATTGGCTGATCCTGCTCGTTCTTATTACTTCTTGACAGACGGCCTCCAACACTGGGCGGCCCTTTCACTTCTGGATGACAGATGACAAGTATTCAGCCAGTTACTTCGACAGTGGCATTATTCTTCCAGGCAAACAGGGGAAGAGTGGGAAGTTAGACGAAAACGCCTTTCGAACTCTTGGGGCTGTTGATAAAACCTATGTCAGTAGAGCGTGAGGGGACCCAACGCTTCTGGTTAACACTGAGCATGAGACTGTTTGAAAGATCTGCTGTCCGAATAAGATATGTGTAAAACCCCGCTGCTTGAATGAAGAATAGTAAGCCCTAAAGTAACGCATAGCAATTCTGTGGATTAACTAAACCCCTTTAATATGTCACTCAAAACGGCCTGTGCCCGAACCCTTCACATGCTCCTTGTGATCTCACGTTTGTCTGACAGATACATGTTCCATCTCTCTTCAGGAATATGAAGCGAGATATGAAGAGTTTGAGCATCGCTGAATATATTCTTGATGATTTAGTTTTTTACAACTTAATGAAGCCAGTTGAATTTCACTATGGTACATGTTAGGTGTCATGGGATGACAACTGACACGACTCTAAGTGAAAGCCGTGAGTACTGGAGCGAGTTTCGGACTTTGAGTGGGTCGCGGCAGGCCGATTAAAAACCCCACTTCTCCGTGCGTGTCTTGTCACTGAGGACCTCTGAAACAGGCGCAGCAGGCGACAAACGCTGTTGCCCCAGGCTTCACCAAGGGACAGGTACCCTCCCCGGGTTTCCTCGCAACTTTGGCACCGTTGCCGGGGAGGGGACTGCACCCCCAAGGCCTCGGCCTTCCGTTATCGAACGGGGGTGAGCAGGTGGAGTAGCCTGCTGATTGATCGATTGATTATCATTTTATGTTTTTTGTTTTATTTGATTAAACCTTTTTTTTCTGGATAACTTCTGATCCGGGTGTTTTCGAGCAAACCACCCCCAGATCAAAGTTAATCCCCTCGACGAGCCGTTTTTTTTTTAACCTTCAGTGGCTTGAACCGATCACTGAGATTCGAGATATGGATTTTTCTTAATTTTTTTCAAAATTTACTAAGATAATTCGTTTTTGGTTTTTATTAAGTTACTGGAAACTTGGTTGGAATTTGGGATCGATTATGGAGAGCGAAGTTGTTCGGAATTATTTGCCCGAGATTTTGAGACGTCACTCAGGGAAAACCGACATCGTATGTGACCTGTGCGATGTCCAACAGCCCCTATTAATCGAAGTGAAATTGTCGAATTAAGATTTTCTTTATTAATATTTTTAATACCGAAAAGGCAAAAATAAAAAAATCCAATCCGATAGAAAGTTAGATTTTCCCACCTAGTATAAGTATACCGAGTTTTCCTGCATGAAAAGGGTTAAAGTGTGCATGTGGTCGCGCACAAAACGTAAAAACCCTAGCGATCGAAAACCCTAGAAACCAAAAATATTCTAAGTATTATTTTAGAGACTATTTAATTTTTAACTTCCAAACCGTGCGGATTTGGCCGATGCCGTTGACCAGCCTCTGGTCTCTTACGCATGGAGGCTCAGATTGACTCACAGCCGACAGCCTGGATCTCGTACAGTTGCAGACTTCCACTTGGACCGAATGCTGCCTGGATACCTGCGTGCAACCAATTGTGTGTGTCTGATCGGTGGCCAGGACTGGGTCCGTGAAGACTCTGACTCGTGAGCCTCAATATTCCGACCTTCAGTTGACTTTGGTCAACTGTCAGGCGCAGGGCCTCTGAAGCCACATTTCAGGGGTTCTGTTTCCCCACGGTCGGACACAGGGCCTGAAGGCCGTTTCATGGCCTGCGGCTGGCCCCCTTGGCCGACGACATAGGCATATTTGAACGGGTCATTGCACCTGCCTCTTCATCACCCCTTTGTTTTGGAAAAAGTCATAAATCCCCCACCACCAAGGCAAAACCTTTGTATTTGTTCACCCCCAAACCAGGCAAAAGGTGCGGGAGGCCCTGAAATGAACTTTCGCGCCTTTTTTACACCCCGGCACTGCCTGAAACAAACTTTTCCACCATTTTTGCACAGCGGGCCCTGCTGGCGTCACTGTCCCAGCCAGGGTGCAAAAATGACGCGAAAGGTCGTTTCAGGGCCTCCCACACTTTTTGCCTCGTTTGGGGGCAAACAAATACAAAGGTTTTGCCACGAGGGGGATTAACTTTTCCCCTTTCTATAACGTTTGTCTTACCATCTTCTCTTTGTAGCAAGTTCATACTGATAGGCAGAATAGTAGACTACATATACTTACTAATAATGGAAAAGAATTTAAATAAATAATCATGGTTATGATCCCTGGATATCCGGACAGCCATCTGGACATCCGGTGTCTGAAGTCCGGACATTTGCAAGTCCAGATCCAGATGGCTCCAATAACTTAAACCACCAGTCCAATGGCCCCTGCACTGTTCATTTTTCTTGTCTACAAGTACCGGGCCAAAATCACCAGTACCCAGGTACGAGCCCATTAACCAGCTAGGAGATGTTCACCTGGCTTCTGGTGTACGGGATGCTGGTCGGCAACTGTGGAGGGTCTTGGACTCTGCATGGATGCTGCTGCCTGCGGAAGATCTCATAGATGTCCTGCGTTGACAATGTAAGTCCTTGCTGCAATGGTGCTGGGGTGGGCTGACCAGTATGGTTTCAGTTTTGAACACCGGGTCACCGTTGCAGTGGTAAAGGCATCTGGCTGCTACAGCCGAGGTCACCGATTCGATTCCGTTTGGCTGCGAAATTTTGTCTGGCTGCCGATCAATTGCTGGGCTACAATGATAAACCTACCAACCAACCAACAGGCCCGGCGGAGGTTTGGTGGGGAAGGGTACCACAATTATTTCTCCTCACGGTGGCACTGTAGGTTTTAGGCTCGGGGAGATGCAACTTTTGGTTCGTCAAATATAGATCCGGATGAACGTACAGTGAAAGAGAAGTCTCTAATCACCACACCTATTCCTTTCCCTTTTGGAAATGTAATGCCACAGAGTTAAAAAAACATGTTTCATTTCCCTTTTCCACAACACAAGACACACATTGCTTTATCTTTCTCATGAAGCACATTCTCACGGGTGGGGGGACGTGGTTGGCAGAGGGGTCAGATGGTCAGCGTAACACTGCTGTGCTACGGTGTCATGTTGCAAGTTTGACAGTCAGTTAAGGATGGCTGTAGCCAATGATATACCACAGCTTGTGTCACAGAAACGGACACCACCTGACATCGCTCGGGCAGGCGCAACCACAACTCAGATCCAAGCAGCAAGCACACTACTTCCGCTTCTCCTCCTCCTCCTCCTCCTCCTCCTCCTCCTCTCTCTCTCTCTCTCTCTCTCTCTCTCTCTCTCTCTCTCTCTCTCTCTCTCTCTCTCTCTCTCTCTCTCTCTCTCTCTCTCTCACACACACACACACACACACACACACACACACACACACACACACACACACAGGGTGAAAGTCCGACGAAACAGTCTGGCACAGTCGTGCTTTTTTTTGTGGACTTTTGCATAGCGGACATGACAACACACACACACACACAGACAAGGATGCAACAAGGCACGCTTTTTGGGGGGGGTTAAGGGTGACAAGGACAGGGATGCCTTTGACTATGGGCTTAGCTGACAGTCAATCCTTCTAAAAGAAGCAGTCAACGGTGTGAGGGATCCCTAAGCCGTAACATGGGGATGTGTTAACAAGTATACCACGTATTCTTTTGACTTGCCGGTGGAATAGGAACCGGGGTGGCGTAGGAACAGGACTGATGCTCTCCAGAATGGACGTGGAGCTGGGCCCATAACGACCTGTTGTTATTACCAAAACAAAAAAAAAAAGGCAGCTAAACAGATAAACAAACACACACGGAACGAGGTGGATGGACAGTGCTCTGCCTCATCAGACAAAACGAGGTGCTGAATGTAAAGCAGACTGTATTTAAATTTTTAGAAAGAAAAAGAAAGAGAGCTTCGTCCATGCTGACGTGCGTACCTTCAAGGTGCTCTACCAAGCGAGGTGCAAGTCCCAGCTCAGAAAACTTTGTTGCAGCAAACACCTGAGCGGCAATATCTTCCGGAAGCATCTTTCTCATGTCCACTTTGCTTTTTGTCGGCTCGTCGTTGTGCACAGCTGCCTGTCTATCCTGTCCCCCATTGAATCTGGCTGTCCCAGAAGCCCTTGCCCCTCCAGACCCTTCCTCTTCACCTCGTTCACTCCACTGATCTCTCTTCGCTCTCTTTCTCTCTTGCACAGACATTCCCCTCAACGTATTTGTTTCCATGTCCATTGATTCTATTTCCGTGTGTCTGATTCCGTTCCCACGTTCCTTGCTTCCAATTTCTGACGATGTTTCCGTGTTCTCTGTCTCTTGTTCAACCAGCTCGTCATCCTCTTCATTGTTGCTCTCTTCCTTCGCACGTGAAGCTGCACTGCATCCGTAGCTAGTACTTTTCACATGCATTGCCGGAGGCCTCAACAACTGTGCGCTCGGATCATAACGTGCGACGCTGTGAAACCCTTTTGCTCCTCCAATATGCTTTGGCTTCGACTCCAATCTGGTCTGTCATTCATCCACAGGTGTGACCCAACATCCCCATGTCACATCTTCCATCAACTAACATAGGAAGGGATGCGGACAGATGGCATAGGGCGGGCGGGCAGGCAGGGGGGGAGACCAGTGGCCGCCTGCCCGCCTGCCCGTCTGCCCGTCGCCCAGCCCCCGTGCCCGCCAGACAGCCACACGGGCAAACAGAAACAGACAGACAGACAGACAGACAGACAGACAGACAGACAGACAGACAGACAGACAGAGAGATATATAGACAGACGGACAGATGGCATAGGGCGGGCAGGCAGACGGGGAGACAAGTGGCCACCTGCCTGCCTGCCCGTCCCCCAGCCCCCGTGCCCGCCAGACAGCGAGACAGGCAAACAGAGATAGACAGACAGACAGACAGACAGACAGACAGACAGACCGATGACGAATCAAAGCAGCCTATCTCTCACACTTGACGGAACACTCTTCAAACTGCAGATTCACACCCGCCATCATAAGCCAGCAACACCCCCACGAAACAGAGAGAGGTCTGTCACAGCCAGAAAATGCACTACAGACACACCGATAGCATTATGGGCCTCACTCGACCACTCACCAAACAGAATTTGCCATGGTCAGTGCTCACCACAGTGAATTCTCAGGAAAATGGTGTCACCACCTCACCAAACTCACCCACACTCTCACCACAAGGCCGTACCTCTTCAGTTGATCAGGAAGGTGTGCAGGAGAAGAGGCATTGCAACATCGTGAGGCACCGCAACTCCGCCACTGCAGAGGAGGGGAAAACGGTGGCCGTGGTGAGCACTCACCACTGCCAAGTCACTGCACAGAAAACTGGTTGTCTCACAGGGTGGCCATGGTGAGGTGGTTGAGCGCCAGCAGCACTCACCAAACTTCGTGTTTGGTGAGTGGTGAAACGAGGCCCTACAACTGCCCTTGTGAACCGTAGGCAGAAAGGGTGAAAAGGATGTCACACATGGAGTAGTAGTAGTAGCAGTAGCAGTAGCAGTAGTAGTAGGAGTAGTAGTAGTAGTAGTACTAGTAGTAGTCGAAGGAGTAGGAGTAGGAGGAGGAGGAGGAGTAGGAGTAGTAGTAGTAGTCGTAGTAGTAGTAGTAGTAGTAGTAGTAGGAGGAGGAGGAGGAGTAGGAGTAGGAGTAGGAGTAGTAGCAGTAGTAGTAGTAGTAGTAGCAGTAGTAGTAGTAGTAGTAGTAGTACTAGTAGTAGCAGCAGCAGTAGTAGTAGTAGTAGTAGTAGTAGTAGTAGTAGTAGTAGGAGGAGGAGGAGGAGGAGGAGGAGTAGGAGGAGGAGTAGGAGGAGTAGTAGGCGTAGTAGTAGTAGTCAGTAGTAGTAGTAGTAGTAGTAGTAGTAGTAGTAGTAGTAGTAGTAGTGGTAGTCTTCAGAGGTCACCAACGGCTGGCCGTGACTTGACCCAACCGTACCCAGCCGTAACCGGCAGCTTTGGACGGTTGCGGGTATGGCGGAAAGGCGATGGGCTGGTCCGGCCGGGTGTGAAAATGTGCTGGTGGAATTTCGTTGGGTTGGGAATGTTTCGAGGGGGCAAGGCCGGGCTTGGCTGGGTGTTGAAAAAATGCCTGGGCGGGTACGGCTGGGTGGAGGTTTGGCCTGGGTGACCCGGAGCCTATAGGCCAGTATAGTAGTATAGACTAGTATAGGACCTATAGGTAGTAGCCTGGTAGGTACTTGGTAGTAGGTAGAATTAGGACCAGGCCACAATTTTAAATTGGTCTGCCTTTTCTACTTTTCACCCCCAGGTTGCAGGTATAGGGGTATTAGGGGCCCTTTCATCCGTTGTTTTTTTTTTTTTCGACTGCTAATGTGGCATTGTCCTCAAACAGGCAAAAAAGGTGTGGCAGCTGTGGCTGACCAACGGGCCTCGCTCCAGCACTCACCAAATCCATAAAATGAGTATGAATCTTCCGCTAGGACATGGAAAGATACACCCCCATTTTTTTGTCTTTTTGTGCGTTCACTGCCATTCAGTAAGTAGTGGAGCGAGGCTCTGGGCCTCACTCCACTTGGCCCAGAGCCTCGCTCCACTACTCACCACATGCACAAAAAGACAAAAAAGCATGGGGTTGTATCTTTCCATGTCCTAGCGGACGATTCATAGTCATTTTATGGATTTCGAGAGTAGCGGAGCGAGGCCACTTAATAGACTGAATACCTATGCCCTTTGCAATCCTCTCTAGTGTTGCTGACACGCCAAAATTTTGAAGTTGAACTTCGAAACTTCACCGAAGCTTCGATTGGCGGAGGGGCGCTGGGCTTCTCCGACCACAGCAACGACAGTCCAACGCCATACGGTGCCATGCAGTGCAAGCGTCTTTGCAAGCGAGCTTAGCGAGGAAACCTGACATGCAAGCACGCGCGATACTGCAAGCTTCATGGCAAGCGCTGCAAGCGTACAGAAAGCGAGTGTGGCAATGGTGAGCACCGAGCGTGGCGACGGCAGGTGCGAAAGCTGGCGAGCTTGATGGGGCATGCCTATGCACATGCAGCGTCGGGCCTGCAAACGTGGTGACTTTGCCGCGCTTCATGAGAGAGAGAGAGAGAGAGAGAGAGAGAGAGAGAGAGAGAGAGAGAGAGAGAGAGAGAGAGAGAGAGCATCTGTCTCGTCATTTGTTAATGGCGTAGCAAGCGTAGTGAAAGCGGGGGAGGG